AAGATTTCTGTACTTAGAAAAGGAATAAGAGACAGTTTTCATTAGCACATCATCCTCTTCAAAATTTTCCTTTCTCATCTCTTTGATGCATTCTCAAACAAAAGGAAAAGTACACATAAGACATGGAAAGAGGTTGAACACAGTGGCTCACTCCCATAATCCTAACATTTTGGGAGGCCAAGGCAGGAGGATCACTTGAGGTCAGGAGTTCGAGACTAGCCTGAGCAACAGAGTGAGAACCTGTCACACACCTAAAAAAGTATATATAATACATATTTTACATATTAAATACTATAATATACTCGTTGCCAAGAGCTGTAGTTTGAGATCTTCACAAAACAAACAAAAATTCCGCGCTTTGGGAGGCTGAGGTGAGTGGATTGCCTGAGCCCGCGGGTTCGAGACCCGCCTGGGCAACTTGGCGAGACCTCATTTCTACAATAAATCAAAAAAATTAGCCGGGTGTGGTAGCGTGCGCACCTGTAGTTCCAGCTACTTGGAAGGCTGAGGCGGAAGGATCACCAGAGCCCAGCAGGTTGAGGCTGCAGTGGCTGGGAGTGGCCACTGCACTCCAGTCTGGGCGACAGAGTGAGACTCCAACTCAAAAAAAAAATTAACCCAATTTTTATTTAAATAACAATTCTGTGATCTGATCAATGCTGTAGAAAACATCCTTCAGTGTGCTTTGAAGAAAAATCAATTCAACTTTTCCTCTATATTTTTATCATGGAAGAGATAAGAAACCTTTTAAAATTTAAAATTTCTCATGAATATTTTCAAGACTGATTGAGTATAAGTTTAGACATGAATGAAAAACTCTTGAGGCTTAGTTATTTTACTAAAACAGATGTCTCATTATTTCTTTTCTTTTCTTTTTTGAGTTGGAGTCTCACTCTGTTGCCCAGGCTGGAGTGCAGTGGGGCACTCATGGCCACTGCAGCCTCAAATTGCTAGGCTCAGGTAATCCTTCTGCCTCAGCCTTCCAAGTAGCTGGGACTGCAGGCACGTGCCACCATGCCCAGCAAATCTTTTGATTGATTGTAGAGATGAGGTCTCGTCAAGTTGCCCAGGCTGGTCTTGAACCCATGGCTCAGACAATCCTCTCACCTCGGCCTCCCAAAATGTTGGGATTACAGGCATGAGCCACTGTGCTCAGCCTCATTATTTCTTAAACTTTCTATTGCATCATCTTTTATGTAGAGACAGTCTTGCACGGTTGCTCGGGCTGTTCTGTAACTCCCGGCCTCAAGCAATCCTCCTGTGTTGGCCTCCCAAAGTGCTGAGATTACAGGTGAGAACCATGGCACAGCCTTTTACTAAATACTTTTGTAAGACAAAACATCACTGTGGGTCAGGTGTGGTGGCTCACACCTGTAGTCATAGCTCTTTGGGAGGTGGAACGAGAGGATTACCTGAGCCCAGGGGTTCGAGACCAGCCTGGGCAACTTGGTGAGAGCTCGTCTCTACAACAAATCAAGAAAAATTTGACAGGCGTGGTGGCACACACCTGTAGTCCCAGCTACTTGGAAGGTAGAGACGGAAGAATCACCTGAGCCCAGCAGGTTAAGGCTATGGTGGCTGTGAGTGTGCCACTGCACTCTAGCCTGAGTGACAGAGTGGGACTCCAACACAAAAAAAAAAGAAAGAAAGAAATTATAACCTTTGTTATTTCTAGTTAGGGAGTCTCAGGTGGTATTTTTACTTCCCCTTTTGACCTTTTATGTACTATTTGGATTTCTTACAATGAACAAGAATATTATGTTCTCGAAGTAAAAATAATTATAATAATACTGAGCTCTAAGGGAAAAAAAACACACAAAATCAACTACTCTATACTTGAGTGTCAAGACCCTCAAAACAGTGTCCCCATGTTCAAGAGAGAAGAGGATACTGAAAGTAGGAGAAAAATCAAGATGGAATACAGGGAAGTGTTTCTGGACAGACTCATCCAGAAGCCTCCTGGCCTGCCATCCTTCTCTAAAAGCTCAATCCACCTAAATGTTTATATCTTTTGATCCAAAGACCCTCACTATGAATTAGTCTTAAGGAAAAGCTACGTGTAAGAACTCATCAATGGCAGGATTACCCATAATGGAGAAAAAGCTGGAAAACAATCTACGAGTCTAAAGTCAAGGCCAATCAATAAATCATAAAGATCAGATAGAAACATGGATAATGTTTATTACATGGGAAACAGAAAAATAAACACTATGCCATCACAATGTTTTTTTTATTCCTGCTACCTTTTTGTTTTTATAATTTTCTCTACTTTTTAAATTAAAAAATTATGGGTTAACCTTTTCAGGTCCCTTCCTACTGTGAGAGCTTTTCTGTTCTCTCAATAAATCCTGCTTTCGCACTAAAAAAAAATAAAATTAAAAAAACAATAAATAAATAAAGTAAAAAATTACTTGAAACTTTTTCTTTAAAATGTAAGCACCCAAAAAGTAATAGTAATAAAATAAATAATAATAAAATAAAACAAAATGTAAGTACTGTGGGGATCAAAGGGAGACCCAAAGTTTACCTTTACAATGACCACTTATCTACCTAATCCTGAATTGTACCCCACAACTTTAAAATAAATTAATTAATTAAAAAATAAAATGCGGCTGGGCTCAGTGGCTCAGTCTGTAATCCCAGCACTTTGGGAGGCCGAGGCGAGTAGATTGCCCGAGCCAGCGGGTTCAAGACCCTGGGTGGGTCTTGAACCCTGGCGAGACCTCATCTCTACAATAAATCAAAAATTAGCCAGATGTGATAGCATGCGCCTGTAGTTCTGGCTACTTGGAAGGCTGAGGTGAAAGGATCGCTGGAGCCCAGCACATTGAGGCTGCGGTGGCCGGGAACGTGCCACTGCACTCCAGTCTGGGTGACAGAGTGAGACTCTAACTCAAAAAAAAAAAAATTAAATGCAAGGAGCCCCCATACCAAAATGCAAGTATCATAATTGTGAGTAAAGGTAATAAAAATAAACACATGATGCCATAAACCAGCTAGATCTAAAATCTCTAAACTGGAAAAGGAAAGCATGGATAATATTTATTATATGGGAAACAGAACACCCTAACCAGAGGACAATGACACAGTGATGTCACTGACCCTGGGAAGTAATATATTCATAGGAAACAATTGTGGGTAGTATGATGAACTGTGAAGTCGCAACCCTATCGAAGCTATAAAAAAAAATACATAGTAGGCTGGGAGCAGTGGCTCACGTCTGTAATCCCAGGACTTTGGGAGGCTGAGGTGAGAGGATTGCCTGAGCCCACGGGTTTGAGACCAGCCTGGGCAATTGGTGTGACCTCATCTCTACAATAAAAATTAAAATATTAGCCAGACGAGGTGGCACACACCTGTAGTTCTAGCTACTTGGAAGGCTGAGGTAGAAGGATCCCCTGAGCCCAGCAGGCTGAGGCTGCGGTGGCCATGAGCGTGCCACTGCACTCCAGCCAGGGTGACAGAATGAGACTCTGACTCAAAAAAAAAAAAGCCCACAGTGAGCTACCTTCCTTACACTTTGCTAGTGCTACTCTCAACAGGACACAATATTCACAAAATTCTGGAAAATGACAGGCAATCATCTTAGGTCCTCTCCTAAGCTTTTATTGCAAGAAGAAAAAAATACAGACCAAGGTAAACCTTAATGATATGCATAAAGAATAGGAACAGAATATTTTAGGATAATTAGGAGAGGCTTATAGCTATTTATGGTAGAGAAGGAAGACAAATGCAGGCCTTAGAAGATACTAAAAACACATAATAGTCTGTGAATAGTTGGGGGTTTTTTTTTAACACCATTCTCACTCCTAAGCGAAATATGCTTTAAATTACCATGTATCTAATTTTTTAACTGAAAAAAAATGTGGCAACAGTGACTAAATATAACAAAGAAAAAATACCTACTTCTGAGGGCCTTAAAATCCAACTATTCTCAAAATCCTTTATTTTCTTCATTACCTATTAACAACTTTCTTTCCACTGGAAAATGAGGAAAGCAGCAGAAAATCATGAGTGTGACAAGGAAATAATGAAAGGGATTTGTGCTGTGGCTTGAGGAAATGAGTATCAGGTGTTCAGTCAGTTACACTCTATATATGAGCCTAGAGAGAGTCAGAGGGGATCGAACTCCTCACAGCTCTGAAAGATGTCAGGGTCCATACAAGATGAACATTCCTGTGGCTAACTCTTCATAGTTTTCAGACATTTAGGCCCTACCCCAATTGTAAGGGATATTTCCAAGGGCAATTTGCATTACAGTATTTTAAATTGCCATAAGGTCCCTTAAAAGTCACATAATACATAAAAAGAACTGTTATTATGAATGAAACATCAACATCTATCCTGAATTTACATGTGCTCTAATATTGCCTACCTTGAGACTTTCTGCCTTACATTTAACCCAAAACATTGATATACTTTAAGACATTGTCCTTATGTTTAAGTCTCAGATATTACAAAGGATCACTGGCTGCTCTGAGTCTGCGTTGTGATACTTCCTATACTAGGAAGTGATTATTTGTTCATAAAATGTAACCCTTTATATGAAGTTTTCTGAATAGTCTAGAAATTGGTTCACTATGTCTCAAAGGTCCTTGCACAGTATACCTGAACTTAAACAAATTATCCAAGTTCAGTTGAGTATTTCAAAGGCCTAAAGCTCAGAAAACCTGGCTTCTGGAATCATGCTGTAACTGTGACCTCAGCTACCCAAAGCATGCTTCTGCCAGACATTACTGATTAAAGCAATCAACCTTGATTATTGTGGCTAGCTGAACCCAGGTTAAATAAATAAATAAACAAATGCATTCCACGATGCTTTACAGAAGCAAAACAAACAAAAAACAAACAAACAAAAAAATCACAAGTATTAAAAAGCTGATTTTTGCTTAAAACACCAAGCAAGGAAGGGACATATGAATATTCCTAACCTGCAAAATGATTCCTCCACATTATATCAGCGAAACTCATTGGTGGGCCACTGGGAGGGTAGTGTTTACCTTTCAGAGGTTCATGATCAGTCCTTATCATATCCATTAAGGAGTTCTCCAACGAGTGCAAGTTAAAAGTGTCATAGGGCCTACTCCGGTCCTAAAAATAAAAACACAGAACAAGACAATACATACAATTACTTCATAAAATTAGCACCATCGCTTCCTGCTGTGGATTGAATTAAATGAATGGAAGTTAGCGATATTTCTAATAACAAAGTCCCTTTTTTAATTAAGAAGAATGACTTGGCAACATTAAGTTTAATACAAGTTTCCACAGTTAATTAAATTGCATCCTTTTCCCTGATATTCTATAATGTAATGTCCCATTACTTTAGACTGACATTCTCTCAGATGATCTAAAAAAGCAAATGTAGAAGGAAGAGTCAAGTGAATTGGCTTTGCCCTCTGCCCTCCAACCCCTGCCTCGACTGTCAAATGAGAGATATTTCATTTTATTGGATATCTTTAATACTTATGACCACTCAGTTACATACATTGATATTGTTTCTAAAAATAAACATGTGTCCAAAATACTAAAATTACCATCTGAAAAGCACTCACATGACAAAATGTAACCCAATGTAGTGTTTTCTTTCTTTCTTTTCTTTTTTTTTTTTTTTTTGAGTAGGAGTCTCACTCTGCCACCCAGGATGGAGTGCAGTGGCATGCTCACAGCCAGTGCAGACTTGACCTGCTGGGCTCAGGTGATCCTTCCGTCTCAGGCTTCCAAGTAGGTGGAACCACAGGAATGCACCATCACGTCCAGCTAATTATTTATTTATTGTAAAGACGAGGTTTTGCCAAGTTGTCCAGACTGGTCTTGAACACCTGGATTCAGGCAATCCTCTCGCCTCTCGCTATCTGCTAATGAAATGAACAACCTTACTGGCAACGTAGTAGTGCATTCCTATCATAAAAGGGCATCAGAGGTCAGGTATTGTGGCTTATGCCTATAATCCCAGCACTTTGGAAAGCCAAGACAGGAGGATTGCTTGAGCCTGGAAGTTCAAGACCGACCTAAGCAACATAGCAAGACCAACTCTCTACAAAAAAAAAAAAAAAAATCAAAAATTAGTCGGACGTGGTGATGCATGCCCGTAGTCTCAGCTACTTAGGAGGCTGAGGCAGAAGGATCACCTGAGCCCAGGAAATCGATGATGATGAGCTATGATCATGCCACGGCACTCCAGTGTGGGTGACAGAGTGGGACCTTGACAAAAAACAAAAACAACCACCCCAAAAAGGATATCAGAGATTAGATGACTACCTGTCAGGAAAAGTTAATAGGAAGTTAGGTGGGAAGATTCATGTCTATAAACTGAAGTGGTTCCCAAATCTGTAAGATTGTCAAAATCTCATGTAGAACTGATTACAACGTAGGTTCCAGGCCAGGCATGGTGGCTCAAGCCTGTAATCCCAGTACTCTGAGAGGCTGAGGTGAGAGGCTTGCCTGAGCTTGTGTGTTCGAGACCAGCCTAGGCAACATGGTGAGACCCCATCTCTACAATAAAATAATTAGCCAGCCATGGTAGCACGCACCTGTAGTTCCAGCTACTTGGAAGGCTGAGGTGGAAGGGTCACCGGAGCCCAGCAAGTCAATGCTGGGGTGGCCGTGAATGTGCCACTGCAATCTAGTCTGGGTGACCGAGTGAGACTCCAACTCAAAAAAACAAAATAAAAACAAAAAAACACAGGTTCCTGGGCTTTAGCTCAAACACATTTAATTATAATTTTTTAAAAATATTAAACAAATAGAGACAGGGTCTCACTCTGTTGACCAGGCTGGAGTATGGTGGCACAATCATATTACGCCTCAGACTCCTGAGCAGCACTGCAGGTGTGCGCCACAATGCCCAGTTGACTTTTAAATTTTTGCTACAGATGGGAGTCTCACTATGCTGCCCAGGATGCTTTTGAACTCCCAGCCTCAAGCATTCCTCCCACCTTGGCTTCCCAAAGTGCTGAGATTATAGGTATGAGCCACCATGCCCAGCCTTAATCATAATTTAAAAATAAACACAAGTACTAGGTGATTTTGATGACTGGCTAAGAGCTGCTAGATTAGATGATTCTGCAAGTTAAACCTCTAAACTAATTATTCTAGTCAGCAAAATTGGACAGTAAAGTGAGGGCAGGACTTAGGACAGCAGCAGGCAATAAACAAGCTTGCCACTTTGCAGAGGGTCAGCCTTGCAGTCTTCAGATTGTGGGCTAGAGAGCCAGCCAGTGGCCTGGTTTTTAAAGCACAAATTTTGAAATCAAAACCTGATTTTCAAATTCTGGTTTTCCTATGAACTGTCATGTCACTTTAAACAAATTTCTAAGCCTTGGTTAATTCATCTATAAAATGGAATGATAATTCTCTACGCAGGGTTGTTTTCAATACTAAATGACAGCTGGGTGTGCTGGCTCACACCTGTATTCCCAACACTTGGGAAGGCCGAGATGAGAGTATTGCCTCAGCCAAGGGGTTCGAGACCAGCCTAAGCAACTTGGTGAGACCTTGTTTGTACAAAAAGTCAAGAAACATTAACTGGGCATGGTGGTACAAGCCTTGTGGTTCCAGCTACCTGGAAGACTGAGGTGGAAGGATCGCCTGAGCCCAGCAGGTCGAGCTTGCAGTGGCCTTGAGCATGCCACTGCACTCTAGCCTGGATGATAGACTGAGACTCTGACTCAAAAAACCAAAACAACCAACCACATAAAACCACTAAATCATGGGAGGTACAAGGTATCCGTATCACAATGAATACCATAAGAGAACACAAAAAAACTTCTGTGATGCCACCTCAGAGTACTGAAACATAGTTTTAAAAACCCAGCCATTCACAGACACTAACCTGACAGGTTTACTAATGCTCAAAAGATGAAAACATATGACACGGGAAAGGCATGACAGAATTTGCCCAAGCTTCTTAACTGAATAAACTTCAGTCCTCTGAGAGATTTTTCTCATCAAAAGTAATTCTATCCATGCCTCCTCAATTTATATTTGCTGCCTACCATTCATCCTTCTTGTTTTACAAGTGGTAAATGCTGCTGAAATAACTGATTAACCAGGGAGCCTTCAAGAAGCAGAACAAAAAGGATAGAGAAACTGACAGTTCTGCAGTGAAATTCATAAGTGGAATCGTGTATAGAGAAAACTAGGCCACAATTTATCACTTAACGATGGAAGTTAGAAGTGGCAACTAAACTGTTATGTCTTTTTTTGGTAAGTTTTATTTCCCAATGCAGAGAAAACATCTTTGTTTTTAACAAGCAAACATACCAGAAAGTATTAGAAGATCTATAAATAATGCATCTCACTATTGACTCTTTTTCTTTTAAGATCATCATTGGAGATGTAATCAGTTAAACACAGGAACAGCCCACCCCCACTGCACTAGCCCTGCTCTTTCTTAGCATTAATACATTTATCAAGTATTCAATAAGTGCCTGGTACTGTTTTAAGCATGCTGTATGCATTAGCTCACAACCCGATGAAGTAGGTAACTTCTGTCCCCATTTTATAAATTCAACAATTAAGTCTTGGAGAGGTTAAGTAACTGGCTCGAGGTTACAGGGCTAGAATGTGGCAGAGCCAGGGCTCAAACCGAGTCAAGTCCGACAGTGCTTTTAAGGACTAACTGCACTGCCTTCTTGACTTCCTGCTAGTCCCTCCAGCCTTAAATCCTTTTTACAAACACCCTCTTTAACCTAATCCTGACACGATCCAGAAAGAGGCTTCTTTGACCCTCCCTTGCCCTTGGCCAATTACCTTTGCTCAACTGACAACTAATTAACCTCAAGAAGCAGTTTGATTTACCTCCAGGTCAACCTCTGTCAGCCCTATCCCGTTCACCTGCCCTTTTCCTAGGTGAGAAATCCAGGACCCTTTTCTACCCTTTCTGGCTTATACTCAGACGTTTTCTCTTCTAGAGATACAAAGTGGAAGCCTGCAACAGCCAGTAGCATCTGAGGAAAAAAAGTAGCTCTGGGACCAAACGATACAATGAACCATGGTGCCTTCCGTGTGCTAGGTACTGGGCTAAATGCATTACAGCCATGATCTCATTTCTCACCACAACCCTGCAGGGTAGGCATTATCTCCATTTCACTGAGAATAAAAACTGAGACTCACAGAGGTTATGTAACTGCTCAAAGTCACAGAGCTGGTCAGAAATCAGGACGTGAAACCAGGTCTGAGACTCTCGGGTCCATGCCAGTAATGTTCTAATGACCAGTTTCAGTGTGCCCCATGAACAATGGGGTCTTGATTGGGAAGAAAGGGACACAGACAGGAGCAAAACTCAAAAGGGCAGATGTTTGAACAGGGCTAGGAAAAAATAAGTGTGGCAGTAAAATAGCACAGAAAAATAAGAAGATGAATTCCTGAAGGAGGTTTTTTAATTTATCACATGACTTCAACATATATATGGATAAAACATTTCAAAGTTAAATGCATCTAACACATGAAAAGACTAACCCACCTCTGAATTTCCACCCTCCTGCTCTTATTTTTTACTTAGTATATGCTATTTGCAAACATCTCATCTCCCTATCTATACTATAAACTCCCTATCTATACTATTACTGCTTAAGAGAGATGAATATGATTTATCAATTTTTAAGTGGATATTTATTACATAATATATAGACTTATTCTTCTCAAACACACACACACACGCACAGAGTACTGTAGAAAAAGCTAGTCTTCGATCTTGCTGTCTCTTACTCTCTCTTCGGTCCATGGTATATTTTAACCACCCTGAATGAGATTAATATATGTAGCCTTCTAGAAAACACAATTCTATATGCTCCTTCAGTCACTCAATGGCAATCTAATGCTTCCTATATCCTTATAGACCTAAAACCTTTCTCCCTTTCCTGTTCTTGGAGGAAAAAAATAATCAGCACCTACTATGAATTTTAATATTCTTTAAAATTCTTGTTAAACAGTCTTCCATGCAACAAATTCTCAAGAACCCTAAAAATAGCCTGGAATAAGACTAGGGCACACACAGAAATTATGAGTTCCCCATCTTTTTCTCCTTCAGGATGACTAATTCCAATTACTTTAACCTTCATATCACATTGTATTTTTCCTTGCTGTAT